AATGGTCAGCTTTATTTCTATCACGCCGTTTTACATTTACGACCTTTTTCGTATTTAACGCTACAATCGTAAATACGATTTACCCTTTTTAGAGGAGATTGAAACGTATTTTACCTTGTAGGTTATAACACCGCTAACTGTTATTCATCTAACTATCATGTCTGTATTACAAACGCACAAGGTGAAGATAACTACGACCATCAGTATGCTTTCTAAGATGCTTTCCACGTTGGACTCTAGTTATTTGCCGTCAATCGACACAGATGCGTCTCCGGAAATCCAACTTCGTACCATCGGACGTCGTAAGGAAGCCATCACAACGGCGAAGAATGGAATCGAGAAGGCTTTGGGAACTCTTAGATCGCGTTATCAAGCCTTGTTGTTGTTTGCTCGGACTCAGGACCAGGAAGAAGTCCTCCGCGACGCCGATCAATTTTGGATTGACCAGCAAGGAGAGCAGCTTCTCGATCAAGCTCAGGATACCATCATAGAACTTGACGCTCAGCTCATCGCGGCCCTCAACATTCAGACTTCTCTCCTGTCACATCTTCAGAAGGACTTGACTACAGCTACAGGTTCCTTGGCTGTAACGGATTCACCACGTTCCATCAGCGAAGTACCATCCCAAGAAAATCAGGATTCTCCTCATCAGACGAGCCCCCTAACTCCATCACAGGGGATAGTCCCTCCGCTGTTGCCGATTCAACTTCGACGTGTTGAGCTACCAACTTTCGACGGAGATATCACCCAGTATCACGACTTCTGGAGCAGGTTCCGAACAGCAGTTCACGATAACGGCGCCCTTTCGCCAGCTACCAAGTTCATCTACTTGACGAACTCACTCAAGGTAAGTGCTGCGTTGATGATCCAGGGCTATGATCCATCTCAGCCTGACAATTATCGCCTAGCCATTGAAGCGCTTCGAAGGAGATATGATCGTCCACAATATACCCACCATCTATTCCTTCATAAGCTGGAGCAGCGTCAACCGTCGTCGTCGTCAGCTACGAGTCAACGAGACACCCTATGTCAGATTCAGTCGTTCATCCTACAACTCAATCGTTACGAGGATACATCTACGTCGTTAGCTCTCATGAAGTTGATTCGAAAGAAGTTTCCGAAGGAGACTCAGCTAGAAGTGAACAAGTTGGAACATCGGTCGAGTAAGACATGGACCTTACCGGAACTTCTGGATGGGCTAAACGAAGTCATTGAGGAATACGAGAAGTTGGACGATTATCTTCCACCCAAATCCACTTCGGAATTCAACATCGCTCCTGTTTCCACTCCTCGCTCCAGATCTCCAACACCGGAGTCACGTTACGATTCAAGGACGTGTTGTTTCTGTCACTCGCCCAATCATCGTTCTACTCGTTGCCATCACTACATGCCTGTGGCACGTCGTCGTGTCATCGCTAACGTGTTTCGACTCTGTTGGAAGTGCCTTCGACATGGACACATCAGCTCCTTTTGCGATCATCCTAATTGCCACTCTTGTAGAGGCAATCACCATTATATGCTTTGTTCGCGTTCAGCCCGACGAAGTCACCGATCACCCTCGCTAGAAAGACCTCACCATTCCCATTGTCCATGTTCTACCTCGAGAAGTTCGTCACTCAGTCACGGAAGAAGCTCATCTTATGATAGGGGATATTCGCGATCGCCGTCCCGTTCCCGTTCTTATTCACCCACACGATCTCATGACCGAAGTCCATCCCCGCGTCATGAAGGATCTTATAAGAGGGAGCGCACACAACATCATACGGTTCGCTTCAGTTCTCCAGTACGTGATACCATCCCTTCTCGCGAGAACAGTAACGAGAGAGAACGACATCAGGGTCGAGATTCACCGGTCTACGTCGCAGCTAACTCAGACGAAGAATACGAGGATCTTATTCGACATCTTAAGGATCCGTCTGACACGCAAGTCTGTACCACTCTGGACCACACCACCTCGTCCAGTCTCATGACAGTGGAAGCATTAGCTGTCAACCAGCAGACCAAGACTTCCACATCAGTGATTCTTCTGTTGGACACTGGTGCACAAAGAAGCTTCATTTCGCAGGATGCAGTTGCTCGCCTTGACATCAAGGTCTTTCACATCACTCGCTTACT